CACACCACACACACACACACACACACACACACACACACACACACACACACACACACACACACACATATATATATATGTGTGTGTGTGAGTGAGTGAGTGTTAGTGAGAGTATGTGTATATATGAATGTATTATGTACATATGCAACACAAGTAACACAAGAGGTCACTGAATAACCCAGAATACCAGACTCATCGTCCATGTATTTTCGAAACCATATTGCAAAAAGTACAGAATGTCAAATGAATTTACCATTGCAATAAATGTAAAAATGTAATATCACATGAATGAAATGCAAGTGCTGAGGTTTTGAAACTATAATCACGAGCTCAATCCATAAATCGACGTAAGGAAGTGACATTATTCTGCCCCATTCATATATAATGCAATTTCACTTGATTTTCGGAAGGAAAGAAAAACAACTGAAGATAAAATGGTATGGAGCTTAAGATTGTGCAAATACCCCTTTATATATTGTATAAAATGAAATATATTAAATCTGAGATATACTTTTATGTAAGCTATTTTTAACTCTTTTTTTTGCGAAAATATGTAATATGGACTCGTTCTGAAATTGCTATGAAATACATAAAATTCTAATTTGTGACAGTTTCCTTGCGCACTCATATTCCTAATGCTAAAAATGGGGGAACGGAATGCTCGCATTAAAAGTCAGTGCTCTGACGCTGATTCAGTGCTGATAAAGACTTATCTAAATCTTACATATATCATGGTTCATCATGGAACTTTACTGCACTGACGCATGACGAATACATCATTTTTTGTCTAATGCATCGTCTGTCTTCTGCGTGATACGTGCTTCACCGGAGACGTTTTGTCATGGCCTGAATGCTCGTGTTGCCCTCCATGGCCGAAAGATCGAAGCCCCGGTCGCCCTCCGGCGTGGTCATGTCCAGCGTGTAGCGGGTCTCGTAGCCCACGCCGGCGAAGATGCGGCCCGAGAGCACGTTGGTGATCGTCGCAAAGGCGAGCTGGCAGCCCAGGTCTTTTCCACGTTCTGTGGCCGCCTGTGTGGGATAAGCATCCATATCAAACTCTAAGATTAAGGAAAGAGTTTACACAAACGCGTTTATGAAATAATACTTGCAGATACCACGCACATAATGTAGACAAACTTTTACTACATGATTCGGTATACAACCTCCATTCCACAGAATAGTTTTATATACAGAATTAATATATGACATAGACACAAACTACACCTTCCTGACATTCTCTCCAAAAACTCTAAGCGACAGGAAACTAAACAGCTCGAAGTAGGATCGAGTTATAGATACCTAGAGATAAAATATTACTGTTGAGTGTCTGCATTCAAGAGTATACACTGCACCATCAATGTGAAAGAACCTGAGATGACATATCACTGTGTGCCCTCTGAAATTAAAGACAGGGACATCCTCTGAGTCACTGCAACAGCCAAAAAGTTCAGACGAAAAAAAACTGAATCGCTAATCGCAAGGTAAGCCATGATTTTATTTACCCAAAATAAAAAATGATAACACCAATAGCAAAAATAGCAGCAAAACAAAACTAGCATGTGAACGTGTGGATTGCCCAATGTAGGGACCACCCCTGCCTTGCACCTCAGCCTTCGCCTCAACAAATTGTGTATGGGCCTTTCCTCTCCCCTTTCCTTTTCCTTTCTCTTCTTCATCCCCTTCGTCTGTCCACTTATCTTAATCACTAACTCATGTTTACCCTTTTTGCCACAATACTTTTTCATAATGCTTTCCGCAAGTCCCACCCTATCTCTATATTTTGAATACGCTGCTAATGACCTTAGATAATGACGCGGCAGAGAATTTTCAACAAATTTCCTGAGTGTACAGGTATAAATGCCACAGCTTATTTACTGTATATTGCATGTACAAAGTGCATCTAGTGCGTGCCTAGGCATCACACTCACCTGAACAAGTTTCCTTCCTATGCCACGGTTACAGTAATCACGTCGCACGGATAGCAGATACATGTAGAGCACCTTCTCCACACCAGGATCTTGAAATAAATCTACCTTGGATCCCACTTCCTCTACCACTCCAAGCCCTCTGATCTAAAGGAGGGGGGGGGTGAATGCCCAAATTAGACGGTGGTTGTACTAATCCGCGAACGATTTTTCTTTTCACTGTCATTGTTGTTGCTTTTGTTTCGTACATTCCACTAAACGGACTAAAACCTACTAGTCACTTACCGTATCCACAAACAAAATTACCTCCACTTCAGTCTTTTCTCCATCGGCGGCCTCTTCAGCAGCGGAGTCTGATCTAGTTTTGACGTAAGCTAATCGAACCCCGACTAAGGCCCCTGTCTCGCGGTCCCTGGCGCCAAAGGACACTCCTGAGACGAGGCATTTCTTCAGGTACCATCCGGTCGCCCCAACGGCGGACGAAGCTGTCGACTGCGCCCCCACGTTTTGCGAATGTGCTCCCAGGTTCTGCAAACGTATTTACTCTCATGTAAACTGCATTTCCATTACAACTCGGCTAATGAATGAATGATTTTTTTTTTTATAAATTGAACGTTCATATCCTATATATATAAATACGATGTAATTCCACTCAGTTGACCTCTAAGATTTTACGAAGACATATCGGGTATCGGTTCAAAATTCTTTGGACTCACGAGAGGCTCCCTAGTTAAGTAATCATCGTCGACCAACGCCGTCACCTGGTTGAAGTCTTCGGGTCTTAGCAAAAAGTATTCGATGTCTTCGTCTCCGCCCATCTAAGGTATTCCGACCGTTTTCTCTAACGTGTAAATGAAGTAATATAATAGATTACCAGAATTTAAAAAAAAACGATTTTCCATGACTTCTCAGTTTATAGTAAACAATGTATGACAGTTCTTCAACTTGCATCCGACAAACTAAACAGATGATGTTTTGGGCAAATCCCCTCTGCTTGTGCATGTTGCAATACTGCTAGAACAA